CCAGTCTCCAGACTCAATTATACATGTGGTATCTCGTCATGCTACACACTCCTCCGTGATGTCGACCATCTGCCGCTTCTTCGGAGGCGTGTCGGACTCGGCGTCCGTAGTCGGGATCTGACGCTTCCCCGAGCTCTTGACCGCGTCGTCAAGGTTCTCCTTCTCGGAGGCCTCGTCCTCCTCGGTCATCGGCGCCAGCGGGCGGGTGGGCTTCCGCTTGGACTTGCTCCGGGAGCCTTCGCGCTTGGGCTGGCGGCGTGTCCGTTTCGGAGAGGTCTTGAACGGCCGGTTGTTGTCCACAGCCCATTGGATCTCAATGATCCTAGACACCCGGGATAAGCGGACGGTTCTTGGTCGTGAATGAGACGAAATGTACCTCTCCCTGAGCTTATCATTGTCGGGTACGTACTTCTGCGCTTTACGATACAGCTCAAGCGCGAGCTTGAGGTTGTCCCTGTGCGAACTGAGCGTCAGCCAGACGGAACGACGGCCGGCGACGGCGTCGGTGCGACGCACTTCTGGGACTCGGACCGCGCGAGCGCGACGTACGCCCGGCCGGTTTTCTTGCGGGACAGGGGCGAGAGCACGTCGGCGAGTTGGACGGCCTTGTTCGCACGCTCGCTAAGAGGCGGAATCAGTGTCCGAGGGACGACTTGCCAGGTGCAGGAAGAGATCGCACAATCTCGCTTCGAGCTCGTCGAGGCGCCGCTTGAGCTCCTCGTCCTCGGTGTTGCGGGACTTGAGGAGGGGCGTGAGCAGACCGGAGGGAAGCGTCTGGAGGCTCGTGCTTGTGTTTGCGTTCGAGGAGTCGTCGCCGTCGTTGGAGAGGCTCGAACTCGTGTTGCTGCTGCGGGAGGTGGAGGTAGAGATGGCGGCCTCTTCTTCTTCAAGCCGCTGTTTCTCGCGTTCTTCGAGGCGGCGGGCAACTTCGAGCTCCACGGCTCGGGCGATCTGACGGCACTGGTAAGGGTTTTGAAAACGCCACGATGGGTTATCACTTACCCGCGCATTGATCTCATCTTCTGTCAGGTGAAGGGGAAGCGTTGGGGCAGGTTTAGTAATGGCAATCGGTTCGGGAGGCGAGGCGGCCGTCAAGGAGGGCCGTCCGGAAGGAGCATGAACGACCGACGGACGAGGCATGCGGGACGGACGAGGCAGTGCGGGTCGTAGTAGAGCTGATACGGTCGCGGCAGCATTCGGCAGCGGCGCTGCAACCCCTTGAGGTTTGGATGGTCCAGCGACTGCGTTGGACTGGTTGACCGCAGGTTTGTTCTGAACGTTCTTCGTGCGGACTGCGAAGCTGAAGGCATGTGAGTGACCTTACAGTGCGCGCAGATGATGACAACATACTTGAGAGTGTTGAGAGTATCCTGTCGGAACTTTGTGCCGGGTGCGAGGTTGCAGATGAGCAAACCTACCGAGCTACCCCCGAGTGCGTCTTGCAGGATTCGGGTGAGTTTCGAATTGCGGTAAGGAATGCGGCTCTGGCTACAGGTCAGTTGATACACCTACAGCGGACATACAGAGCTTACCGCTCCTTGATTGAGCGCATGCACAACCTGTCCGAGTACGCTCAACGACTTGTTGATGGCTGCGGATTCGACCATGCGTGACGCATCGTTGCCGGTGTGCTGCAGTTCATGTCAGTAAAGGACATAAACATGGTACTGTTCGGCTACCTTGTTGTTCTCGGAGCCAGCGAGATCGACTAGATTGAGTTTACCGGATAGAGCTGCAAGGGCGAGGCGGCAGTGAGCTGAATGTGAAGTTTCAAGAGTACTTGCATACGTACTTAAGTTTCGTGTCGTGTCGGTCACGGTGATGTACAATGTCAGAATTGCATGCGAGCGGGAAGATACCGAGTTGAGATTAGTGGAACCGACGGATCGTTGCTTGTTGGCGCGACTGCTCGAGGTAATGAGAAGCGCGTAGGATCGAAGATAACAGGACTTACGAGAACAAGGCAGTGAAGTCATCAACGGTTTCAAGAGTGACCAGAGACAGGTTGGCCACAAAGACTTGACCAGACTCATTCTCTCGGACAGGGAGCTTGTTTGCCTGGCGTGGTTGACGATAAACGCGGAGAACGCTGAGGACGGTGGACTAGAGCTCACCGTTTCGCGGTCGACGAGAAGGTCATAGACTTCGTCCTTGTAGATCTCCATATAAGAGGCGTGAACAACGGCGCGTTGTGCTGTGTCGCCGGCTTTTCGAAATACTTCCTGCACATGCAACGAGTCAAAGGAATATTGAAGGGGACAAAAGGGAGAAACGAACTTGTACTGCGCGAGGAATGATGCCCGGTTGGTCACTGCTGCCTTGCATAGTGTGTGTCTTTCCGGAGGATGTGACGCCATACGCAAACACGGTCACAGTCTAGGAGAACGATGGGTCGGAGCATTCGCAGAGTGGGAGATGACTGGCACGCACGATGCCTGAGAAAGCGAGTTCAATGAGAGGCTGGACGTCACGATCAAAAATTTCATGTTGCTGAGACGCCGCGTCATAGCAGGATGAAAAACTACGGCAGGGATCAGGGACATGAACATGGACACCAAGCAGAAAACAGAGGGGACGTACGGATATTTGAATGTCTGAGAAGTGTCACGGGGGTTGTCGACGTGGATGGCGGGACTGGATGATGTATGGACGACGCGAATGGCGGAGTCATGCTGCTCTGCAGGTAGCGGGGGACGAAGACGGGCAGCAATCTTGACTCTGGAGTAGGACATGTGAGGCGACGATTAAGGGAGCGAGGAAGAGAGTGAGAGGGGGGAGCTGGGGGAGTTGCAAAGAGCGAGGTTGGATAATAAGAAGGCACTATTGAGTGCAGATAGGTGCACGCACGGCGGCGGGGATACAGGCGGTGGCGGAGGAGCAGCGAAAAGGACCAGTTCGCGTTCGCGTCCTGTCTCCCGAACCGTGGGCATCCGCGCACGTGATCGCGTTCGGGCGCTCCTCACCTCACATCAATCAAGCCGGGTGGCCTGGGTCAAGTAGACCTGAATCCGTGCTCCCCCGCACGTTTGAATAATTTGTCCGATAAACCCGAGCTGTTTCCCAACAGGGAAGTGCTCGAACACCCTCCCAAGTCCCCCAGCCCATCACATGTCCCCATCCTCCAGATTTCCCACCAGTCCACGTTATCCCTCCCACCCCTGCCTGCGTTATCTCCCGCGCCCACACCCACATTATCTCCCACGCCGGCGCCGCACGCCTTCCTGCCCCACCACCTGTGCTCACTGTGCCTGACAGGGAGCTCGCTGTCCCCTCCCATGACGGGAGGGGCCAGATGGTAAACACCAAAACAGGGCATTTGCCAGGCTGAAGTCATGTTTTATGTCACGGTCACGGCCTTTGTCCAGTGTTGCGCACACCAGACAAAGACCAGGAATCATGGTCACACCATGATCTCGGCCTGGTCTCCCTGCGCAGTGATTATATAATACAGCTTGGAGGGAGGGTGCACCAAATCGGGAGTGAATGAGTACCGCAAAGGGGTGGAATTTCTCACATGTGGAGTAGGCGTGTGTTGATAAAGCATGCTGGCGAAGACCAGGCTGAGACCATGGTGTGACCATGATTCCTGGTCTTTGTCTGGTGTGCGCCAGAGACCGTGACAGTGACATGGAACATGCCCTTAGCCTGTTGCAGGTCTTACTCTGGCGGTTCCCATCTGGCCTTTCCTGTTGTGTCCTCTCCATTTCCCTCTGTTCTTTTTGTAATCTACTTGTATTCAAAATGCGGACCTAATGGTACACAATTCAATAGCCACACCTGCCTGGGTGTAAAATGACAATATCACGATCGCACCGGTGCCAGACTCGTCCAAACCTTCGATTGAGGTAACGAATACAGCGGTAGTGCGGGTGGAGGTAAGCTGGTGTCCGTGGGACGCGCGTAGAGTACATAAGAGTCCGTATGGTCTCAGATCGCCCGATCTGATGGCCGAAGTTCGGCGAAATACTTCGCCGAAGTCAAGACACCCGAGCCCTGCTCGCAGCGTGGCCGAAATTCGGCCGGTACGCCAAACTCCGGCACTGAAATCCGGCACATGCGCGCCCTGCACGCCCGTACCTTAACATCCTCCTCCTCTGGACCGCAGTGACGGTCCTGACGTGGGAGCGGGCCGTGAACGCCAATCGGAGGAGATGGAGAGGTGGATGGGTAGAGATGGAGGTTGGATGACCTTGATGTAGTGGTGCAGAGGCGTCGCCGGCACTAGGCGCAAAGCAGACGCGAACTAGAGTCACACGAGGGATGTCTAGCCCACAAAGACCAAGTTAACATAGCTCTACATACATACAGGCAATCGAGATACTCACCTAGCCCACAAAGACCAAGAGGTCGAGATGAGGGCTAGGACACGAAGTGCAAGTGCCAAGAGAGTCCGCGATACGGGCGCTTAATCGCGGGAACAACCTTCCAATATAGTAGCAGGCAGAGAACACCGCATGAAACCGCGGATTTCCCAAGGTGGGGAATGAGCGCGGAATGAGTAAATTCCTGGCAAATTCCTTGAGACCTCCACGCAGATTCCCGCGGGTTGGGAATTCGCACTTAATGGCCCCCTTCCTTACATATTCCCCCGTCATTCTGAGAACATTCCTCGTGCATTCCTTCCAAGTGGAATCCAGACCCCGTGAGGGTCATGTATATTGGGCCATGCAATTATTATGGGATAACCGTAGGGCGTCTGTCGCGCCCCGCGCGTGCGCGCGGCTTCGTGCTGTCGATGCGCGCGCGGCGGGTGCAGACGCGCGCTTCGACTTCGGTATTCGTTCGCGCGGCATTGCGGATCGCGGCTGGACAGGCCGCTGAGTATGTACGCATAAGGAGTGAACAGTGCATGTATCCTTAAACACATTGTTCGTATCAAAGAGAGATGGGCTGCGCGAACAGCGGGGCAAGCTCGCGCTGGCATCGTCTCGTACCAACCCCGACCCCACTACGTTGCGCCTCTGCTTGCCTTCGATTTCCCCCAACGACTGTGCCAGGCGATGCCTGGGAACGATGCAGGCCCTAGCGGCGGGGGGAGGAACTTCACTGGCACAGATCTCCCTCAACCGGGCCTTCAGCGACTAAACGGGGCGATTCAAGAGATTGAACGACTCACCAGAGCACTTGAAAACCACGTTGAAAAGACGGCCACCTTAATCAGTGTCCTCCGCCACGATAACAACATCACACGTGCAAAACTTGAGGTTGCCACCGACCGCATCAACTTTCTTGAAGAGTTCTTGGAGATCGAGCCAGATGACGGAGAGGAGGGAGCGGTGCAAGACCCACAAGATGCGAGTGTCATGGGAGGAGATGGCAGTGGTGATGCGACGGCAGCGGCAGTGAGCAAGCAGTTGTGTGCGAATACACGTGCCATAGTCAGTCATTGAGCTCGTCAGGTACGAACAGACGACTCACCTCGTATCAGAGAGCGACCAACGACGCGTTCAAAATCTGGATGGGGGTTACAAATCTCTCCAAGGCGGCCGATCTACCTGGTATCCCTGGGCTGGGAGAAGAGGCCCCACTGGTACCGACCGGGCAGCACGCTGGCACTCGTCTCGTCAGGTTCAACTGGCTCCAGAATGCGACATACCCAATGAATGCTCGAGGCATTGAGACCCTGACGACGGCTCTGAGGGCGCATGGAAACTCGTACGTTCCTGGCTTCGGAGAGGACCTCGAGAAGATCTTCGATGCCGACCTGAAAAACCGCGTCATCACTAAGTTCAAAGCCCTCGCGGCGAACTGGAAGCGCATAGAGAAGAGCGCTGGGAAAGCACGCGCACCTGCGGAGTCGGAGCCTGTAGATGTAGAGGATGCGCAGCAAGAAGCTGACGATGATCCTCTTATGGATCGCAAGATTGCTCGTTCTCGGGCTAAACCAGTGAGTTCTTGTCAGTGCATCTCTGAGGGCGATGAATACGTGTACACATACTACGTGCCATGCGCAGAAACAGGAACAGCGCAAACGTAAAAGCGCGGGTACGAAGTGGGCAGAGCCGAAGTATGAGACCGCATTCACTGAAAACGCGGCCTCGGACGATGAAGACATATCGGAGAGCGAGGTCGTGGCTGGAGAGAAGACTTGTTATGTCAGTCGGCCGCCGTGGTTCCGATCAGCAATGGTAAGCACTCTTGGGACAGGCGACGTGGAGGACGGAGATGCTTACCTACTAGTACCATGTTAGCTTCAGGAGTGCTACGACGATCTCGACCTGCGGAACGATCCTGAGCCAGATCGCGCAGCTCTGCTCATCAAGCGGAGGAAGGGACCGGTAAAACTCACTGCTGTACCTCCGAGGGCGCAGACGCTGAAGAATCGCCTGCGCGTGTGGATGATCACCGAGGACGCTCTCGAAGGGAACCCGCACTGGTTGACGGGGGGCCGAGTCGCACAAAACGGGAAGTTGTGGGGAGATGAAGACGATCCAGTGGACGATAGCACAGCGAGAGGAACGAAGAGGAAGGGGGAGTCGTCCAAGAACAGTGGTGGTAAGAAAAAGAAGCGTCCTGCTGAGGACATGAGTAAGGTACAAGCGGCTGAGGCTAGTCGCGCGGCACTCGCACGAGGGGCAGATGATGACGACCTCTTCGGGAACATGACACAGGTGTGGGGGACTTGACGCGCTTTCATGCGGCTTATCAATCTTGTAGTTCTTGTTCGAGGTTGTCAAACCACGTATCATTGGGCTCGAGTCCGGTCTGTGCGCGTGCGTGTTAAGCCGGTGTATGTGGGGTATAAGGTAAACTCACGCGATCGAACGAGTGAACAACCCAGAGGTTTCGGCGCAATCCAGGCCCAGTATGGGCCGTGATTGGTACGATCGCCACTGCGGCAGCAAGCCAGGACGTTGGAATGATCTCGACTGGGTGATACTGTTCGGCATATGCAACAGAAACACCTAGATGATCTGAGCTGTGGGAGGGTGAGGAGGCAACTGGGAGTGCATAAGGTGCGGACGAAGACGCACTACATTGACCATGGAAACGTCGGAATGTCTTCTCCGGCGACCATTCGCTCGACAGCTGAACACAACACGGGGGCTTGTCCGACAAGCTCAATCTCGAAATGGTACCTGATACGACAAGGAATGCGCTTGATACCATCAAAGTCGACGCAAGCGTGCTGATCTGAGTCAGTGCGAGTGTCCGCAGTTGATCCGTACCGAATTGCATCCTTTGAGATGAAAGGAAAGCGTTGAGTGCCCTTGTGTGCAAGGAAGGTTGTGTCGTGAGGTCGCAAATCATGCTCGTCGCCAATAGTCAGGTGGGGGAAAACACGTCTGAGATGATAGAGAAGGGGCAGGTAGAGGCGACCATCTTCAAGCTGCCGAAGATTGATGAAGGTCTTGGAGCTTCGGCGCGGTGTGTTGATGGTTGATGCGCCATGCGCAAATGCCTCGATCTGTGTCCCTAGCGTGCCACGAACTGCGCCTTGCTCTCGGCAGATACTTTTCAGCTCTGCGCGTTCGTACTCAGTTGCATCAGGCGGCAGTGTGAAAACCTCGAACACGAGTGAGCATCCGCATTGACCGGGACCCAGAGGCGCACTCACAAGCTCATACAAGCGTAGCTTGTACTGCCAGTTCCGCATCAACGTGAGCTCCATCTCACCCCAAGGGCGACCATTCAGGTTGACATCAGCAAGAATCCCGTTGAAGCGTTCGTGTGCGAAGAGCCACCATGCGTACACCGGTCCGAAGCGTTCATAAAACACTGGGTAGTGCAACGCATAGTGGCAGTTGGGCACCATGTGTACATTCAGCCGGACGAGATCACGGCAGAGATCTTGGATGAAGCCGTGACCACGTTTCACGTCGTCGAGGGTGATCTGTCTTGAGGCGAGAATGCGTTCAGCAATGGACGCATACAGAAATAATCTATAAATACGGGAGATGTCTCGTGTGAATGTGGGTCGTTTTGAGGCATTGTGCGGGATTGGAGACGCCTCGGAGCCAGCAAGCTTGTCATTTTCGTCGCGCCAAACACACCAAAGCACTGTGGTTTGGATGTTCACCCAGCGACGCCACTGGTCGGCCTTTGGAAGCCCACGATTTTCCCCGAGCTCAAAGCAATATCAGCTCACAATATCACTGAGCAGAAAGCATGAGCTCACGTTGTTGGGAAGGCGACCAACGCACGATGGCCACTGAATGGAGTTGACAACCGCCTGAAGACTCCACCAGCGCTTGGCGTCGAGCAGATACCCATCGATCAGAAGGGTAGAAAACATGTACTTTGCAATACCTGCCGTATAGCTCGTGTCAGCTTAGAGATCTCCAGCGCGGGTGCGCACCCTGCGGCACCCACAGCCCGCTCACCCAGCGCATGCGGCGGCTCGCACCCACAATCCTGCGCACCTAGTGCACCCATTCGCGCGCGCACAGATGGACCAGACAGTGCGTGCAGTGCCGCAGTCAAGTCTCAACACAGTCAATGTGTACCGCCAACCACACCCCACGTGATCAGCTAGGCGCACCTGGTGTGTGCAGCCGGAGTGCGTGGCCGGCAGGTCAAGAGTCCAGTCTGCGACCTACGGGGCCTCGGATGACATAGAAGGCTCACCGTAGAAGTTGTGCATGAAATCGACAGCCGAGGATGACACAGGGGACCATCCTACCAGCTCGTCCATCGCTGAAAAACGTTTCCCAGACTCGTCCAGAATTTGTTTCCGTGCCTTCTTTGTTGAGGCATCCTTGGAGAGAAACGAGTACCTGAGCATCTCGAACTCATCCCGTAGGCGCAATTCTAAGAGCGATGTCAGCACACTGTTGAGTCCCTGTGACAGGCTCCCGAGATTGTGGAATCCGAAGCAGCACACTCGCTCGAAGACCACGGCTTTAGAGTCTGAGGCGCACTTGCGAGAGCACAACATGATATGCTGTGCGCTTGCCAGCTTGCCCTATGCTCGCGTGTAGCCTCCAAATCATGTGGTACAATCGCGCGCGGCTCCCGATGCACCACGAGGCTCGCGCACGGCTCCCGAGGCTCGCACGCAGCTCCCGATGCACCACGAGGCTCGTGCGCAGCTTCCGATCTGACACAGTACGCTCATACGCAGCCTCCGACACAATTGCAGCTTCCGACACGATAATGGGACGTACTGGAATACACGTATGCCTCGGCCGTTTGCAGCTGATCTTGCGTAACCTCGCAAAAGGAGCACAAAAGAGTGTGTGAGTGACCTGCAGACCCCTTGACCTTTGCTGCTGCAGGTGCGTCGCTGGAGTGGCACTCGACAGCCGCATGTACCTCCACTGGATCGCTGTATCCATATGCGTCTAGGCAGATCCCTGCAGCGCGTAAAACTAGCTTGAAGTATGATACCAGAAATCAGACGTACCAGTGTACAAAACTTTGAGTTCGCGTGTCGCGAGCGCCAGAATATGGTTGATCTCCTCCAGACTTGGCTCCTTCGGCCCAGGAATGACAACTAGAAGATGTTACGATTAATGAGGTACAAATGAATCGTTCTTTATGGGGTGGGCTCTGGCTGTGACGCGCGACACCCTTAACTCAACGCCGTGGGAATATATTCCAGACTCCGATTACTCTTGACTAGCACAGCCACTTCTCACGCATAGGTTTGCTACTTACTCCCATCACCCTAGCTCTGGGTTAGGGTCCCCCTGTAGGGTTCCACTAGCGCTGGGTTTGCACTGCCACCTGGGCCCAGCGCTTCACTCCTTGCTACACTTTGTAGTGCCTGTTAGTGTCTATACCTATTCAACTAGACTGAGATGGGCGCTCTTTATGGGCTTCAGTCAGACTCTATGTGGACTACTACTAGCAATATACTCAAGATTTATCAGAATTGATTCAATTTTTGAAGGGCTGATTTCAGAAAAGTGAGGCTTCCGCAAGTTATTAGATGCCCAGTGGCTGTAGCGCCCTGCGCCTGCTCACTACACCCACATCTGACTACTAGTAAATCAGATCAATTCCCTAAAATGCTGATTATATTAGTGAAGCTAGTCCTCATAGTGGTTGGTACGATTATGAAAGAGGTGCTCATTTATACATAGTGGGTGGGGTGCAGAAGGGTATACAACATACATTCCATATGTTGTAACTGATGGTATGAGCTCAGACAGTGCGCGTTTTAGGTGATTGTGAATGTGTTATACTCATCTATTATAATGGGGTATTCCATGTACACCCAGATGCCAAATCTCACTGTGTTCCTTCAAGTTGTTCCCATGCTGGAAATCTGACCGACTCTGCCCATACGTATATTGAAGTTGTTATATCTCAAGCAGTTCTTGGACGCATCTCACGAAACCTGGTGCGTCCTAATGTATGTTTTAATGCGCATCTAAAACGCCTAAGTGCGCTGTCTAATGTTCTGGTACACTTGTTTCGATTTCCCACCGACTTGGCCCGTGCGTTCATTGCAGTTGCTATATCTCAGGCAGTTCTTGAACGCATCTCTCCAACTTTGCTGCGTCATAATGTGTGCTTCAATGCGCACGTATCGCGCCCAAGTGCGCTGTCTAATATGCCAGTATGACGGTTTCGATTTCTGGCCGAGTGAACCGAATGAGGTGTTATATACGCTGTATCTCAGTCATTTTTCGTCCGATTTGGACCAAACAAAGTGCATTGGATTTCGACGGTCTGGGCGTATATACTTGCTCATTTGTGCATAGTTTTGTCGCCCTGTTAAAATTCTCAAAATCTGGGCCAAGTTGACCAAGTGAGATGTTGTACATGCTCTATCTCTGTCAGTTTTGGGTTGTTTGACATAAAACAAGACGTATTCGACTTCTATTGTCTGGATGTACTCACATGCCAAATATCGTCTGATTTTGTGGTCTTCTTCCTGTTCTGCAAGCCAGCTAGAGAAGTGCGCTTTTATGGGCGCTTATGGGCGCTTAAACGGGGGTAGATCTGCAGGACCTTATCTCTGCCCATCTCTCTGTCCTACCACCACCATCCAGCCTCTACATCTCCTCTTAGCTCTTCTCTGCACACCAATCTGCCCTCATTATGGCTCCTAAGCACTCTAGGCCCTTCTTGGACTACTTGGATCTGGATCAGCAGGAGAACATAGGAGGTGTCTTTGTGAGTATCTTGCACTCTCTCTCTATGCACTCACTCACTAGCTGCAGACTTCTGCTCCTCCCCAGGCTTCCAAGAGGGTTAGAGTGGAGGATTGGGTAGATGGGAATGATGAGGATGAGGATGATGATGATGATGATAAAGACTATGTGAGTACTTGGCTTCTTTTCAGCACATTCCCCCTAAACAGCTATAGACTCCTGGCCCTGCTCAGCCTCCTGCTAAGCCTGCTGAGCCTGCTGAGCCTGTTAAGCCTGCTAGGCCTGCTAGGCCTGCTAAGCCTGCCAGACCAGTGAGTACTACTTTTTGGGTGTGTTTCTTGCATCTCAAGCCCTTCAAGAAATTCCTGCCCCAGCACCAGGTCAATGAACTCCCATCTTCTGTCATAGACCCTGCCCACATCGTCTATGATGAAGTGGAGGTCTTGGAGTGGGCAGCCCGAGGTCGAGCGAAAGCCCACGAAGTCTTGGCCAACGCTCCTGTCTTCCAGCTTCCAAAGCCAATGAGGCTCTATCCTAGCTCTACCACCAAGAAGGAGAAGTTGGCTGACATGGATGCAGATTGGGAGAAGATCAAGCCGAAGAAGTCTGTTGACTGCACCACCATCATTGAAGACTCGGAGGGGCAGCGGGTGCTCTACTATCTTGGTAGGCGCCCTGAGACTGTGAGTTTTCAATGTGCTACCCTATATGTTTCTCATCTATCTGGGCAGGACACACCTGGGGATACTCCTCACCCTATTGAATCACTCTATGAAGGGCGCACGAAGAGGGATGTCGATATTCTGAGAAATAAGGGTGTCTCTATCCAGAACGATGCTCTCACTGTGAGCTGCTCTTGTCTATGTCTTCTGCTTGTCTGATTTTGTTCTAGTTTGATGAGCAGATGAGGTTGCTGGCAGTCTGTCAGTTTTACACCTCCCATGTTCAGCCTGTCCTTCCTGAAAAGGATCGTCGTCACGAGGGGGATCGAGAAGACATCAACACTCACCTCTTTCGATACCAACAAGGCAAACGGGAGAAGAAGAGCAATGAGAGATCCGGAGTGGGCCATCTCATTCATTGCTGGACCCAGCAAGGGGATTCTCACTTTGTGAGTCTGCCTCTGTGGTACTTTGGTTAGAGCTAACACTGTGCAGACAATGACTCCAAGCAGTGATATTGGAGTCAAGAACGATCTCAAGACACCCAAAAACCCCAAGTCTGATAGACTTGAGGTGACAAAGAAGTTCTACACCCTCTCTGCTCCCTTTGCCGCGTACTTTGGTGCTCTGTTTGAGGTCTTCTATCCTGATCTCTATCAACGCTACCAGAAGGCGTTTGATGCAGGGAGCTGGATCCCTCATGACCCTGGACCTTGGCTTGGACGTGCCCTTGTCTGGAAACTCCCTCTCGACCTCCACTTCGACCATGGTGACATTGGGCCTACTCTCACTATTCCCCTTGGTTTCTTCCATAATGGCGAGATGGAGTTCCCTGCCCTTGGGGCAGTGTTTCAGTTTGTGCATTTCTTTTGAGATTAGCAAACACTAATCTGAGTTGGGCAGGTACCGTGCTGGAGACATTATCCTTGGCTGGGACTGCAAATTTGCCCACAAGGTTCGGGACTGGAAAATTGCTAGGCATGCTCTAGGCCAAGATCTCAGCCCTGAGAATGGTCCCAATGTCCAGTGCCCTGAGTGGTTCTCTGGGGGCCGAGTTGCCTTGGTTTTCTTCTCTCATGCCATCACAGTGACTAGGCTGGAGGACAAGCCAGAGGGGTTTTTTGCCAAATACCCCAAGCACCATGAGCTGAAGGCCCAGGATAAGCATGGGAATACTGTACTGGATCCTTGGGAGTTGTGTGAGTGTGGGTGGTCAGAGTGTGAGCGGGAGAATGAGGAGAAGTTGAAGTTGCAGCCTGTTTGGAGGGCTGAGGGGAGACTAGCCACCAGACTCAAGGGCAAGGGCAAAGGCAAGGGGAAAGAATGAGTTTCATTTGCAATGTATCCTACATACAAAGTAACTAAAACATTTGGGGGTATCCAGACTTGGGAAAAGAAAGGATCAATGAGGAACCTGCCTCAACATGTCTTGTATGCATACAGGCATGTGGGCATGCTGTGGGAGGAGGGCATGGGCAGCACAGACAGGGAAGGGGCAGGAGGCATACTGGGACGACGACCGGCGCTGCGGTCTTGCCTGCGGCACCGGCATACGGAACGAAGGGCCGAGGACGTCCATTGGGACGTCCTCGGCGCGTTGAGGGTGTCGGGGAGGCGGTCAGACGGTGGGACGGAAAGGCGGAGGTGGGAGACGGTGGAGGAGGACGGCGGGCAGCCGCGCGGCAGACGGCCTTAGGCCGCCCGTTTTGAGCGCGGGGCCCGGGAGATGGGCGAGGAGGGACGGGGGACACGCCCCGCCGCGTCTTGTACGCGGTCGGGGCGTGTGGGCGCGCTGTGGGAGGACGGGCGGGGCAGCGCGCAGGAGGGACGGGGCACGGGGCTCACCGGAGACGACGGGCGCCGCGGTCTTGAACCGCGGCGCCGGGATGCGAATTGAGGGCCGAGGACGTCCATTGGGACGTCCTCGGCGCGTTGAGGGTGTCGGGGAGGGGTCGGACGGCGGGACGGCGAGGTCGAGGGCAGCGAGGAGGTGGAGGAGGACGGCGGGCAGCGCGCGCGCGCGGACGGCCATAGGCCGCCCGTTTTGAGCGCGGGGCGAGAGCGACGGGCGAGGAGGGACGAGGGACACGCCCCACCACGTCTTGTACGCGGTCGGGGCGTGCGGGCGTGCTGTGGGAGGAGGGACGGGGACAGGGCGCACGAGGGACGGGGCTGGGGGCTCACCAGCAGACGACGGGCGCCGCGGTCTTGACCGCGGCGCCGGGATACGAATTGAAGGGCCCAGGGCGTCCTTTGGGACGCCCTGGGCGCGTTGAGGGTGTCGGGGAGGAGGTCAGACGGCGGGATGGGGAAGTCGAGGGCGGGAGACGGTAGAGGAGGAGGAGGAGAGAGGCGCCCGCGCGGACGGCCGTAGGGCCGCCGTTTTGAGCGTGGGGCCGGGAGATGGGCGAGGAGGGACGGGGGACACGCCCCGCCGCGTCTTGTAAGTGGCCGGGGCGTGCGGACGCGCTGTGGGAGGACGGGCTGGGCAGGGCAGGAGGACGGGGCAAGGGGCTTACCGGAGACGACCGGCGCCGCGGTCTTGAACCGTGGCGCCGGGATACGAATCGAGGGGCCGAGGACGTCCATTGGGACGTCCTCGGCGTGTTGAGGGTGTTGGTGAGGTGGGAGGGAGGCATGAGGGCGAGGTCGAGGGCTGTGGGGAGGAGGAAGAGGAGGGTGGGAGGGGAGTGTGTCGCTGTGCGAGGACGGCCGTCAGGCCCCGTTTTGAGTGTGGGATGTGGCTGAAGGGCGTGGAAGGGTGGGGGACATGCCCACCGTATCTTATACATGGTCAGGGTGTGTGGTTGTACTGTGGGAGGTGTGATGGGGGTGGGCATGCCAGAGAATGGGGGCCAAGGACTTATCTGAACGACCACTGGTGCTGCATTCTTGAACAGTGGCCCTGAAATTGAATTGAAGGACCCAGGGCATCTTTTGGGAAGCTCTGGGCATGCTGAGGTTGTTGGGGAGGCGGTTGGATGGGAGGATGGGGAAGGTAGTGGGTGGGAGATTGAGAAGGAGGAGGGTGGGAGATACCCAAGTGAGAATGGCTGTAAGGCTGACTTTCTTTATGGCTCCTATACCCCTCTTGCCTTCTACCTCAACCACACTGCCCTACAGCCTTCTTCTCAGTCATCATCCACCATGTCTCTCAACCATGACATTATTCACGCTGTCTGCACCCACCTTCCCCCCTCCTCTGTTGTCAAAGTTGCACAAACCTCCAAGACCATGTACGAAGTTGCTATGCGCCCAGCATTGGCCACCGTCCACCTTCAAGAGTGGTACAACAAAAACAAAACCGATGCTCTAGCATGGGTGCAGTGGCTCGTTTCCATCCATCCCTACCTTCCCTATCCTCCATGCCACTACATCAAGTCTCTTATCACTCCTGAAAACCCCGATCTCATCCCCCATTCAGTTCTCCAGAACCTCTTCAGCAGCTCACCAGGTCTCTCTGAGCTTGTGGTTCTCAACTCAGGAGAGAACCTCCACATCATCCACATCTCCTTCATTTCCAAGTTAACTACCCTCTCCTTGACCTCCGCGACTCTCCCCAGTGTTGCCACACTCACTCCCCTCCTCTCCGAACTTCCCCGTCTCTCCTCCCTGTCTGTGTCTCTCCAGGATGGCACCATCCCATCCGACATTACAGCTGAAGACTGGGGGATTCTTCATTCCTTCATCCTCTCCCTCTCCAAAGTCACCCAACTCTCTTCCCTATCCTTGTCAGGATATAGGAGCGAGTACGTGCAGGCTCTTGAGTCTGAGTTGGCGAATTGGATGGCCATTGAGACACTTGGTGTTCAGTCTCCTCTTTTAGACCTCAACCATCTCAAGTCCCTTGAACTCTGTTTGTGGCAGCCATCTTTGGTCCCTCCTACCCCTTCCCTTCTTCACCTCTCTGTCTACTGCGACCGGACCTTTGCAGTCCTGTGGGCTCACCCTTTGCCCCACCTTCGCACCATCGACATCGACTTCAACCTCGATCCAGATTTCCAATATGTTGATAACGACAACAACCGTTCCTTCTCCCATATCGACTCCCTCCGATTTGATGAGACCTGGTTCATCCCTTCCACACATGCCGACTACCAGGGTGGGGAGTTGCCTTTCAAGATTCTCAATCATATCAAGTCCTTAGCCTCCCTTTCCTTCATCGAACTCTGGTGGGAGGACTATGGAGATTCCCTCACTGTCCCATGCGAGATGCTTACCAGAGCAGTGGAGCTCAACGTCAGGTCTCTGACTATCAAGAAGTTTTGGAATCACAGTCAATGTGCTTTTGATGTGCTTTTGGTATGTTTCTCAGCACTCATGTCAGACAGATTCTTATAATTATGTGTAGGTCACTCTGACTCGGAGGTTCTCTCCAGTTCCTCTCATCCATCTCAGCATTGGCTTTTCTCTGGACAGGCTGTTTGAAGGGCTCAACATGGACAGTGGCACTGCTTGCAAGAAGTTGGCTGAGGCACTAGCCAAAGCCATCCCCACTCTAGAGGTTCTGCAGCTGCAGATTGTTGACCTGGAGGAAGACGAAGAAGAGGAAGAGGAAGAAGAAGAGAAGGTCAAGGAACAGGCCAATGTATGGTGGAGAATCAAGCGTCAGGATGAGGTCATTCACTTGGAAGAGATCTGGAGTGATGTGGGAGAGGCTGCAGTGGGTTTGATTCAGAGCAAGTCCTTCAGACTAGAGGATCTCACAGGTTTGCCTTGTGCCACTCACAGTTGCACTCAAACTGATAGCTTCAACAGATCTATTTGGTAGGAGTGGTATCTACTACAAGTTGTAAAATACAGAGGGGAGGCTGTTGTCAAGGGAGCTAAGCAATGGGATGAGAAAGGCACAGGTGAAGAAGTGGAGGAGGAGGGCCTAGGGCACCCACATGTAGCAGCATGGACTTGAACCGCTGCGCCAGGATACGAATTGAAGGGCCGAGGACGTCCCAATGGACGTCCTCGGCGCGTTGAGGGTGTCGGGGAGGCGGTCAGACGGCAGGACGGCGAGGTCGAGGGCGGCAAGGAGGTGGGGGAGGACGGCGGACAGGGCCTGCGCGCGGGCGGCCATACGGCCGCCCGTTTTGAGTGCAGGGCGCGGGCGAAGAGCGAGGAAGGACGGGGGACACGCCCCGCTGCGTCTTGTACGCGGTCGGGGCGTGTGGGCGCGCTGTGGAGGACGGGCGGGCAGCGTGCAGGAGGACGGGGCCGGGGGCTCACCAGCGAACGACGGGCGCCGCGGTCTTGAACCGCGGCGCCGGGATACCCGCCGCGTCTTGTACGTGGTCGGGGCGTGTGGGCGCGCTGTGGGAGGACGGGCGGGGCAGCGCGCAGGAGGGACGGGGCACGGGGCTCACCAGCGAACGACGGGCGCCGCGGTCTTGAACCGCGGCGCCGGGATACGAATTGAAGGGCCGAGGACGTCCATGGGGACGTCCTCGGCGTGTTGAGGGTGTCGGGGAGGTGGTCAGACGGCGGAACGGGGAAGTCGAGGGCGGCGAGGGGTGGAGGAAGAGGAGGAGGAAGG